GCTCTGACAGTATCTGTTGTCCAACTGCTTTCTTGTGCAGGAGAGGTTGCTTTTTAAAATGTGCACTAGTTACCCTGTTAAAAATCGAATGTCATTTAACTATTTTAATTACTTCAAAGTAATGTACATGTACATTTTTACAATTCATTTTGATTTTGATTACTTTTCTACCCGATGAGTAGGATGAAAACTTCTGAAACATACCTTCAGGGAGGTAGTATTGCTGTTACATTCACTTGCCTTTGATTTTTCATTGCGATGTCGACAGTATCGTTACCACTGGCCAACAATTCCCACACTGTGCAGTGATGTTAGAGGCCTTTTTTGGTTTCAGAAGGAAAACACAGCTTTTGTTTTGGTGCCTTCCCATCTCTCTCCTTGTCACAACCTCCTCTGCTTCTACCGTTGGAGGTTTTAAGCTCAACAACAAGTACCAGATATAATTTAACTTCCCTCCAGTGTGAGGATACTGTTAATGTTGCAATATATGGCGACTTATTGATCAATGCATTCATGTTTCAGCTGCCCCAGGCAATCGGCACACTTCAGCCCAAAGAACAGAAGAAGAGGAGAGAGATGAGAGAAGCAGTAAGACAAGTAGATGAAGTCAAATATGAAATGTTGACTAGACGAGGCTGCAAACTGTTGTTTACTGTAATTCCTCTCCTTCTGCCTGGACTTCTGTCTTAACAACAGTAATACATCTCTCTCATTTGATTCAAAATTCACCAGCAACACTTAATAAGAACTTCTGCAAACTTCTGTGAAACATATAATAAAAATAAAACCCTGTATCTTGCATTTTATTTGCGTGTGCTCATTGAGTAAAATTGACAATCTATATTTTGTTGATTACTAATCGTTTCAGTTTCTGTGAAATAGGGAAATAAAACTTCAAACTCTGTCATGACAACAGCGAGGAACAACCGAAGTTGTAGGCTCTTATAGTTTCCTGTGTGTGTGTGTGTGTGTGTGTGTGTGTGTGTGTGGTATTACTAACTTTGTTGGGGGCCTAAATCTCTTTATATAATCATATCACAGCATTATTGAAACTTGTCTTCTTTCTGGGGACTAAAAGTCTTTTAAGGGGTTTTAAGGTTAAGTTAAAGTTTAGGGTAAGGGTTCAGGAAATGGATGTTAGTACATGTAGAGTGTGACGTGGGTGGGACTTGGAGAAGTCAGAAAGAGATGAGTGGCAGCAGTCAGTGGTGAATCAGTGAAAAGATGAAGCTTCTTCTGAGCAGTCTGCTGCTGGGCTCTCTCTGGGCCATCTCATCTCGCAGTAAGTAGAAACACAACCTATTTAYTAAAAATATACAATAGTAATAATGATGATGATACCACATCTGTTTCTGGTGAGAACTTGTGCAAGAATTCTCAAACCATCACCCAACCTCCTCATTACATCATTTATTGGTGTCAGAGGATTCATCTTGTAAGCCTGCGTTGATCAAACAGGAAATGAATGAATATAYAGTATATGTAGAAAATCKTGGTCTTCAAAAGTTCATGCTAATATTGTTTGGAACATTTTATGATTTTGATCAATTTGTTTCCACAGTTCCAATTTTTAAAAGTGAAATATGAGTTTGAACACTACAGTTCAGAATGTTGGTTTCCCTGAGAAAAATGTATAAATGTCATATATTTATTATTGAAATGATGCAGTGTACAAGGCCTTATTCACCTCTCCGTCTCTTACTAGGTGCTCCATTTACAGAGGCTGTGACCCAGACCCCTGATGTTTCTGTCACGGAGGGCGAGGATCTAAACATCACCTGCTGCTTCACCGAGGCGTCTGAAAGAGTGAAGTTCATCTGGAAGAAAAATCAGACAGAAATGTCGAATCAGTCCCACATCTTGAATAATCAGTATCAAGAATCCAAGATGAATCATTCCTGTTCATCTTTGACCTTTTTAAATATCACAAGAGAGGATTCAGGAAGATACATCTGCATCGTGATTATGGAAATACCAGTTATTGTCCAGAGCGTAGGAAATGGTACMGTCATCACAGTTGTGCCCAGAGTGAACGCAGGTAGGTGACAAAACACCACGGCTTGATAATGTTAAGGCTTTGAACAGTACCTGGTTTGTAAACAGTACCTTTACAATCTCCATTCTAAATGACCATAATTATATCTTGTGTAATTACTATGTTCCCCCCCACCACAATATCCAGATGGACCTGTGGAACATTCTACTGAAATCCCCACGATACTTGCCATGGTTGTTGTGGGTCTGTTGCTCCTCATCATTATCGGCTGTTACTGCACTCTGCGAATCAGACATGGTACGAGTAAAATTGTTGTCTTATTGTTGTATTGCACAATAAACCCACGGCTACACATTGTCCTGTAGATCAAATAGGTTCAAACGCACTTTATTGCCCCCCACTTACTTAATCTTGCAGATAGCTTTTACTCCGTCTGTGAATTACCCATAATTATATTGCTTAATTTATGAAATTCATTTAATGCATTTATTTCAATGCCCCAAACAAAAACTCCCTTCACTTGTATTGGGCCAAATAAAAACCGACAATATCAGTAGCGTTGCACATAAGTAAATATATTTTCTTAGACATCGCGCTTCAGTCATTAAGCAGGTTACAGTCGCCAGATTAGCTTCAGCTTCTTACAAATGTTGCACCAATGAGTTGCACGTCACGCTCCATGACGCATTCCTTTGGTAAAACTATACAAATTTTGTTAATTCGATCACAAGTTTATCTTTGAGGTTGGTTTTAATGGTAGAGTTGTAAGCAAAAATGTCTCAGCAAACTCCAATCTCAAAAATAAACATATTCATAACTCTTCGATATTGTCAATCAAAAGTGGCCATAGTTATTTTATAAAGGAATAGTTCTTACTGACTGTGAACAGAGGCTGCATCACGGGTTGGGTTTTACTTTACGCAACATCCAGGAAACGCGACCTGAAGCCGACACAACGCAACATGAGTTTTTTATTAGAGTCTAACGGACACTGTTTTGATCTCTACTTCTAAAATGTCTGGCTCTTAAACACCTCTGAGAGTGCACCTCTCTGCCTCCTGCTGTAGTTCCCATCAAGCTGGTTTTAGCCAATCCAATCTAATCACCAGTAACAGAAGATGCAGTGGCAGAAAGTCCACCACTCACTGTTTCACTGAAGAGGTCATTGCACTCTTTTCCATCACATTATTAGTTTCACTGTGAGTACGCTTCACTTTTGAAAGGACGATTGTAGAGCATGTATATTCAGTTGAGGCCACTAGATTTACAATTAGATATGACTGGGGAGCATTTCCTTTAAAATGTATAGGACTCAGAATTGAACTACTGTATGTGGTACACCACTGACTACTGAAAATGGGAACATTGCTTGTTGCAACAGGATTAGCGTCTGTATATTTCGTTGCATTATTGGGAAACAGTCCTGCTAATTATTTGTGTTCGCCTGTGTGTGTTTGTGTCCCACGGGTTCAGCACAAGCAGTCAGTGTGATCTATGAGGTTCCCCACATTGATTCTGAAACGGCAGACATGGACAAACACAGCACCAGCTCCTCCAGAGGCTCCTCTCAGTGGGTGAGTCAAATGGCAGCATGTCAGCGGCACACACACACACACACACACACACACACACACACACACACACACAAGATTGCATTACTTATAGACAAGAGATTGAATTATTAAAAGTCTACACATGCGTTGTAGCTGGCCAGACATTTCTCCCGATAAGTCTGGCCTTGTTTAATTAGACAACATGATATTATAAGGTTGGAGTGATATAAAGCAATCCAGTAAACAACGCCACACTTTATATATATAATTTCCACACTAAACCCCTTCAGCTGCACAAAAAGCTGCCACTTCCAGTGTTGAGACATTATTACGTAATATAACTGACATCCTGTTTCTGACTAAGTGCCCATTTGACGCCTACTTAGTTTTATGTTGCGCAAGTTAAAAGGTCTTTTAACCTTTGAGCACCACAAACCCACATGCTTTCTTATTAGCCTTATCTGACATATTAGTATATACCATTACACTAACTTTGAGTTTTTATCTTTCTGACTCTTTCAGTGCCAGGTACCAGTGTATGAATCCTTTGATTACTTTGAAGGGGTGAAAAGCAAAGAAAGTGGCTAAGGATCTACTCAACTCGTTTCTTCTTCCAGTATTTTCCGTATTTACTTTTCTTCATGTGAATAATGTACAAACATTTACGTATCTCTAGATGTATTATGTAAAAGATTTTATATTTGCAAATGTTTTAATATTTTTCTATAAACTGCCTCTTATTCATCTTTGTGGTCTACATTCATTTCAGTAATAACATGGTGTGTGTTTATTCACAGACAGTTTGACTTGCGTCACACTAAAAGCGTTTGACGTGTATCATACTGTGGTCCACATCAGTGAGTGGTCTGAACTTGTGCTCAAGTTGAGGACACTGAGTGGAAACTGTGGTGTTGAGAGGCCGATGCATAAAAGGTCAGTGACAGGAAGTGGAAACAGCGCCTGTTGGACCGTCACAGGCGCTAGCGTGCGTGCATTCACCACCTGGCTCTTACCGTCAATGCATTTTGCGGAGACCATGTTTTCCAATATCTTACATACAAATATATTGACTTTCATTTTCATCTTTCCTTTGAGGTATGCATTAAGAACGCTAAGCATTGCATGAGTTAGCATCAGAAATGCACAATGTCAAAAATGTTCAACATTGCATCTTTTTTATTTCATGGTTTGTATGATAAAGTGTTAGCATGCACACCAGACGGTACTATAACCTACGCCTTACGCATGATTTCTCTGTTACATTTCTACATAATTCATCTGCGATTGTGATAAAGTCAATACGCTGATAAATACTGGCCTCATTAGCAGCTATTATTTTCTCAAACAGACACACAAACCCAGTGAGTCAGCCTACTTCAGACTGAAAGAATGTTAAAAGCAACAGAGAGACACTCCTTCACATGCACTTTAAACTGTCCCACCCTTCACCTGCATGCACCCACTCAGATCCTGCAAAGGGTGTGAACCACCACTCTTTCTGTATTTTGTTTGCAGAAAGCTCCCACATACAAAAACACTCACCACATCAGTGGGAAGCAGAGGCAGGCTTCTGTACATACTGCACTGATGATACATGTATGATTTCATTCAAAGCATGCTGCTGTGATACAAAGAAAGATACACATACATACAGTACGTGTTCATACAGTGTGTAGCATATGTATGTGACGGCCCTGTTTCGACAGGGAAGACAAACACACACACACCTAACCTTCACCCTATTGACTTCCATTGGAGTAGTAAAAGAAGCAGTAAGAGAGTGTGGTTCGAAGTGGCAAGAATATGAACAGGACAGGGTTATTATAGTTAACGAAAACTAAGACTAAAACCAAAACTAGCAATGAAAAAATAATTTAGTTAACTGAAATAAAAACGACAATTACAAAAAAAATTAAAACTAAATAAAACTATAATGAACAATGCAAAACTAACTAAAACTGAATTGCAGATAAATTCAGCTTTGTTTTCGTTTCGTTTTCTCCCTCGATTACTGCCTGTCCTGCAGGTGATGGTTAGAGAATGAAATTAAAGGACTTGATAAACCATATTTGGTGTCACACATTGTTTCATCCTTTTTCAGCTTCTACAAGTCGAAGCTTTCTCTTAATACCTGGGAAAACTAAAACTAAATAAAAACTAAACTGAAACTAGTCGATTCCTCAAAATAAAAACTAAACTGAAACTACAAAATCACTTGTTGAACTAACTAAAACTAAACTGAAATAAAAAAGCAAACTGAAAAACTAATGAAAATTTCTAAACTATCTAAACTACCTTGGAACAGGAGCAAAAATACAAATGGTCCCTTGTGAAGTTTGAGGTTTTTTCCATTGAGAAACAATCCCTTGAATATATATACACCACAACAATAACACAGGGAACTGGTTTTATGTCTGTACAATAAGAAACAGACACACATACTTGTACTTCTATGTCAGTGAGGACACTCATTTGCATCATGCACTCCCTGGCCCCTTAACTCTAACCACCAAAACTAAATGCATTTAAACCTCAAATCAAGTCTTAACCTGGAAACAGCTCATTGAAAGTGTGTCACAAAGTGAGGACCAACCAAAACGTCAATTGTGTTTTTGTAATTTAGAAACACAATTAAGGTAAAGTCTTTTTGACAACTGTAACTCATTTTATATATATCCCTGTAAACTGTAACTCTCTTCATATATATATATATCACTTTATATGTCTTACTCAGAAATCAGGCCACCGTCAACAGTTGGTCTGGAATGTTGCCGCTCGGCTTCTGACACATAATACGAAAAATACAATCATATCACGTCTGCTGCTTGTTTATTTTAGGATTGATTTCACAATCATTTTATTAACTTCTAAAGCCATGTGTGGGCTGGCCCCTCCCTATGTTTCATACCTTTTATTTTCACAAGCCAAGATAGATCCTCTGGCAGGGTGTTGCTAACCATTCCATAGTCTGAACTCAAAACCAAAGGAGACAGTGCCTTTGCCAGTGCCTTTCTTATTAT